CACTTTTTGGTACTAAAACAAAGCCAGTGAATTTTTTAAGCCTAGTACTGCCTGATTAAAAATGAGTGCCAATGAATAAAATGGCCATATATATAACTCCTGTGGAAGGGGAGAGATACTCTACCATTGAGTCCATCCTAACTCACAGCAACTCTACAGGGCAAAGGAGAACTTGTGAGGTCCCTAGACTAGAAATCTTTGTGAGCCTCTTGACATAATTGATGGGGTTGAACTGCCTGCCTCGTATTTAGTCCACTACACCACTAGGGTCCTTTTTTATCCTAGGGAAATATTTAAAATAAGCAATAGGAAGGTTGAGGATAAAATTATTAGCAAAGTAAAAAGGGTGTACTTATTCCATGTGTTTTTCTATTTGTACTTGTTTTTCTACAGGAAACCAGAGTGTCATAGTGAGCTATGGGCTGCTAGCCTTACAAGGTCAGCAGTTCAAAACCAGCTGTCTGCTCCTATAGGGAAAGCAGGCTTTCTATTTCCTTGAAGTTACATTCTCAGAAACCCACCAGGCAGCTCTGCAGTGTCCTCAAGGGTGTCATTCTGAGTCATCGATTAAATGGCAATGGGTTTGGTTTGAGTTACTTTTTCAGGGCCAAGATCTGGGTACCTCAACTCAAACCACCATGCTGGCCCACCATCACTCAGTAAAACTAGTGGAGATTTTGCCACCTTTTTTGTCATGAGCTAGCTTCATTTAGTGTGCCGACATGGTACTGGACAATCAATATTATAGTAAGTACGTGCTCATGCTGGTGAGGTTTCTTGGGGTGGTGCTGTCTTTTTGGTGAGGTTTTTTGTTGTTGTTATTTTCCAGTATGTGAAAACCAGGAAAGGTGAATATCTAGCCATTAACTGGGTTATTGGGGATATGGAAAGGGGAGGTTGAGGGAAATGGGGAGCTAATGAGCAAAAGAAGAAAGAAAATGTTCTGGAACTGATTGAAGTGATGATTATACAACTATTTAATATGACTGAATTGAAGTGTATGGTATGTGAATTATGTCAATAAAATGATTTTTTTAAATTAATGACAAGTTTTTCACTTTCTGCATTTTGACCTGAATGTTGGAAAATAATATAATACTAGGAGCAATACTGGATTCTTATCTTGGTTTCTTCGTTTAGTGTTCCCAGCAGGGCTCCTTCTGTAGTGAAGTTTGTGTCATGAAAATTTAATAAACAAGGAAATTGAAATTGAATAACTAATTTCTGGTAGTTGAAAATGTAGATCTATTTGGAAATCACCAGGTTTTCCGCCATCAGCAGATAAGAGTATATGCAGAGTTAGCAGCACACTAAGCCTGCGCTTCTGTAAGTGCTGGCCTGAGTTTTTATCAAAGTACACCTCTACACAATCTAACATCTGGGTGGAGATATATAAAGGAGGCCATAGACACTTGGGTGTTTTTTTTTAATTGGGCATGTATGTGTCTTTTGCGTCCTGCATTAAACAGTGAAAATACAGTACTTAAGGGGTTTTCTCCTGAAATTGATGTTTGTAGAGCATATTAAAATAATTTTTTTAACTAAAATAATTATTAAGATCTATTTGCTTGTGAAGGAGTCCTTCACAAGGACAGTAGGCTATAAAAGGTCCACAGGACAAAAATCTACATTTCTTTTTTTTTTTTTCTTTTTCAAAAATCTACATTTCTAAAGTTGTACCTCCCCAAGAAACCCACGTGGCACTCTACTCAGTACTGTAAGGTTGCTGTAACTCAGAATCCACTCACAGGAAGTTTTAGTTTGCTGGTGAGTTTTTTTGGTAAATAGGGACAGTGGGTGAACATTCTCAGCCAAAGAAGAATTGTACGAATGTAGGTTTTTATTAAATTCAACACAGTTTTGCCCTTGTTTCTCCTAATCTTAACTTTATTATCAATTGGCATTCCAAAATGAATAGGGGTGGAAGTTAAAGCGGTTTTGGGTCATTTTAAAGGTAGGACTATCTTTAGAGTTGGTCTTTAATCCCTCTGAAAAGCAGTCAGTCATAGTCTCTAAAAATACACAGAATCTTACTTATGATTTCAGGAAGGTAAGAGTATTCAGAGAGTGAACCATGAATATCTAACTGAAAAAACTAGCCGTCAAGTTGACTTCTTCCACTTACGATAACCCCATGTGTGTCCAAGTAAAACTTACTGTTGGCACCATTACTTTAAAATATTGGTGCAGTAACTCTTGGGCATGGTAACAAGAATTTATGTGCTTTATTATTTATTAGTGTTTTGGGCTTATAAAAGATAACACAATTGGTTTCATTCAGCAAATGACTATTAAAACCCCCTCCCTAGACTGAAAGAAGTAATTAAAATACTTCATGGCTGTCAAAGAATAATTAGATGGGGTGCTATGTTGCTTCAAGGGAGCTCTGGTGCTGTAGTGGGAACTGCATTGGTCTGCTAATCACAAGGTTAAAGGTGGCTTTGAAACCACTGAGAAAGATTGCAGCTTTCTACTTAACAAAAAAATGTAATTTTTTTTTTTGGTGGGGGGGTTAGTTTCAAAAACCCATAGTGGCAGTTGTATTCTGTACCATAAGTCAGAATTGACTCCGTGGCACTGAGTTTTTTGTTTTAGTTGGGTTGGTGATGACTCAAAAGTGAGTTAGTTGGTTTCTGCCCCAAGGACCATGATAAAAGGCATTGTGGCAGTGCCATCAGCTATTAACAAAGCTCTCTGGATCTTGATAGGAGAATTCCAGACTGGGTGATGTGGTCAGGTTCTTTTATAGAATTGGCATTTAAGTTGGCCCTTGAAAGTTGAAAATGATTGTGACAGGTGGAGAGAGGGGCGGGGGCAGGGACAAGGACAAAATTTCAGGCAAGAGCAGTTGTGGAGCCATAATTCTCAGCTCAGATTTGTCTTGCCTTACTGCCTGAAATTCTCGAAAGATTGATTTACTAAATAGAGTACTGCAAAAAGTTGGTGGAAAATGAGATTAAAAGGCAATAGAGTTTTTTACCATGAGCTTTTGAAGCAGCCGCATAGACATTTGTATGCCTACATACCTTTTTTATTGTGCTTCCAGATAGTAACATGTTTTACAAGTTGAAGGTTTGTGGCAACCCTTCCATGAGTTCATCTCTTGGCGCCATTTTTCCAACAGCATGGACTCAACTTAGTGTCTGTATTACATTTTTGGAAATTGTCACAATATTTCAAATTTTTCCATAATACGGTTATATACTTAGTAGACAACAAACAGTATAGTATAAATATAAGTTTTACATGTACTGAGAAACCAGAAAATTGGTGTGGCTGGCTTTATTGTGGTTTTAGTTTTATTACATTGGTCTAAAAAGAGCCCCAAATAACCCAGAGTTAGGCCTGTACTCCTGTCTATCAAAGGGGCCTGAGAGCATAGACTAGCTGATTCACTGTATGATTGGCTTGGTGAAAATGGAGAAGGCAGGCTGCATAGTACATGGTAAAATTCACTGGAAAGACATCTTAAAAGCATGTGCTATTGGGATGGTAGTCATTAATTTTCCCTTTTTATTCACTATTTGTTTTGCTTTGCTTTTTTAACTTGCTTTCAGAAACAATTATATGGCTGAAATTTGCTGATGGGCTAAAGAACATTCAAAGCTCTTCTGTTAAAATACACGAAGTTCTGCCGATACCACTGAGCTGTTTCTTTTTCTCAGAATAGCAAGTGGTAACTAGATTATTCTGTAGCCAAATGGAGTGAAGAAATACTTTTTTTTTCTTTTTCTAAATGTAGTTTATAGTTGATGGTCAAATGATCACATTTTAAACCAGCCTTCAATTGGGAGTTAGGAACTACTAGACTTTTCATTTTGGTCAATTCTCTCCCTTCCAGAAATAGTTCTTTTCCTGTGACTCCCTGCCCAATGGCCATCCCCTTTCCCCCCACATTGGAGGTAGATCCTACAAAATAGAGGTGAGCAGGAAACAAAATTTTATGAAAAGAACGTAAGATTGGTTAATCAGTTCTTAAGAAATTAATCCTAAAGTATTTCTGTGTCGAAGGTAAACCTAAAATTATAACCACCGACTTTGATTTTAGTGAAAGCATGCAATGATGCATTTTAACATTGTTTTTCTTTGTTAAACAAGAGCACCTTTTTTTGAAAAAGGAAGTCTGAAGGAGATGGTGGAAACTGTCATTTCCTTAGCTCTAGAAGTGCATATTGAGTACTGGATTGTCAGAATTCTATTTGTCTTCCTTAAAAGATACCAAAGCAAAACTCTACTATAGAGGCGATTCCAAACTGACCTCCAGGCTTCTGAGGCTGTGATTCTTTTTATGGGAGCAATCGTTCTCCCTGAACAGCTGATCGGTTTGAACCACCTACCGGGTGGGTAACCAGTCCATTGTATAGCTCACTATACTACCAGAATTCCTTGCTAAAAGATAAGTTGCTTAATTATAAATTATCTGGGAGTTGTCAAATTGCTTAGATTACATAGTAAAGGAAAGTATGGTAATTTCTGGGGGGTTTCAATAGTTAAAATGCTGAAATGACTGGCCAAACTGGAGAAGATTCAAAGTGAAAAAATTAAGGATGGGAAGAAGAGATGCCATGAACAGTTGTCTGGAGAATTTTTAAAACATAATGTTTAAAATGAGAGCATTCACAGCCAATTAGGTTCCAATTAGTAATTTTTGTGTACATTATTCAGTGATATTAGTCACATTTTTCAGTGAGCCATTCTCATTCCCTCTGGTTATACCATTTCTAGTACTCTACTTTCCCTGACCTCTTACCATTTCATCTTTGCTTTAGAATAACTTTTTGACTATTTGGTATTTGTTTTTTCTAAAGATGGTCATCACTGTGGAGTAATGTTTGTTTCATGATCTAATCACTTTTGTTTTTTAAACCTTGAGTCTCTTTGGTAGAGACTGGCACCTCATGTAATTGAGAATACGAACACTGGTAATCATCTAAGAATGGCTACAGAGCAAACAACCTCAGCTTCTATAAGTGAATTATACACCTGAAATCACTGGACTCTTATTTATTTATTTATTTTAATTCCACCCCCCCGCTGAACTCTTACATAGCCATACCTGATTTTTTAAAAATATGAACATTACATGGCAAAAGTTGATTTCTCTGAAAATTTTATTCCTGCGATTTAGAATAATAGTATTATTAGAACCTTAAAAGTACTTGACAATAAAAACTTGGAAACTGAAGGAAAGATTTTTCAGTTACTATTTTCTCTATGATCCAATGATGAGACAGTAAAGATAAAACGAAAGCTTGCCATTTTTCTGAGAGCCAATTCAGGCTTTTGTGCAAGAGACTGGCTAATTTTGTTGATTTTTTTTTTTTTTTAAATCCTAGTATTAGGTTGTTCCTAGTTATTTTTAATTTAAAATCCACTTGGCCAGAAGTTTATCCTATTTATATAAGAAGTGAAAAATCCATTTGATTTAGGGAAAGCTTCTAATTTTCATGTGCTATATTAAAAAAAATCCTTATAGCTGTGTTTTAAATGTAAGTTCATATTATAGGGGCAGGAGGAGATGAAGGGAGAATAGGAAAGATGTCCCAACTAGCATTTTGGTATATATTATTTAATACTGTTGTGAATTGGCTGCAGGTTTACAGAGTAAATCGATTTTTTATTCAGCAATTCATGCATGTCTGTTTCATGTCATTGATTGCAAGCACCCTGCTGGGCTTTCCTCCCTGGTTTTCCTGGTTCCATTCCTTCTGAACTTTGTCCTTGGGTAAATGCTGCCCTTTTTATCTAAAGTGGTTGGTTGATCAAGGAATGCATATTTCTCTAGTGCTAAAAGTTCCACCTTATAGATCAGTCTGTTACTTGGATGACAACTGAGCAGAGGAGGTGAATGCCATCAGATGATGGCCCAAAGGATGACTATGAGCTATATTTTCTGGGATTAATCTTAATCTTTTTAAGACCCCACTTGAATATACAGTGTTTTCTTTGGGCCACATTGACCTTGGCCCCTGATTCTGAGCTCCCAGGTCCAGTGTTTGATCATTTTTCTAATGTTTTTAAGCTTA